CCCTAGGGCACCTAGACAACTACTTGTGGGTGCCCCGGTTTGGACTTGCAATTACGGGCCTGGTCATACATGGGTCCCCGCTTCTATTTCCAGGGTCACAGGTCCTTTATCCTACGAGGTAGCCCTGGACAACGGTCATGTCCTGCGCCGGCACATCGACCAACTCCGCCCTAGGCGGGATCTTCCAGATGAGGCTCCTGGGTCTTTTCCAGGGGGAGGGGGACCCTTTAGAGCAAAGGGAGGGGCACGAGCTGCTGCCCACCTCCAATGAGGGAGCCACAAACGGCCCATTCCAAGATTCCGTTGAGTGCCCCAAACAGGAATTCTAAGAGCCTATCCAACTACCAGGCATTCATGCCTACTCCAGCCAGGGAATCACCCCAGGGGTACAATCACTATTCACCTGCACAGCACAGTACTCCAGTCAGGGAGGATACCCGGGAGCATCCCAATAAATCATACCCCGCAAGAGAGCTGGCACATAATCCCCAGAGTTGGCCTGACCTTACCCCAAGTCCTACAGGGGGTCAAACATACAGGGAGGTGGTCGAGGAACCAAGTCCCGACCGCAACACCTCTAGCCCAAATCAGGGAGTAACTGAGTTTTGGGAAGGTACAGAAACCCACACGAGCCCGGACACAGAACGGGGTTTAGGGAATGGACAGCCTCCTGACAGGTCTTGGACGGACCTAGGAGGTTCTACAGAGACGCCCAGCAGTGGCTATCACTTCAAGGGGCCCGAGGGCCTACAGCTAGGCAGGTCAACCAGGTCACAAAGTGACAGAAGCCCTGGCCTGACGAGCCCGGTGGGCGAGCAAGCAGGCCAGGCATTGGGGCACAGTCCTTGGAAGGCACCAAGGCAAGATAAGGAGAACAGGCTCACGTCTCCCTTCAGTCAGGGAACACCTGTCAGAAACCCAGAGCTGAGAAGGTCACAGAGAGCAAGGAAATCTCCTAAGTACTTAGAGGATTACATAACATTGCTGGCTAAACAAAAGCCAGTAAACAGTAGGAGCACTGGGGAGTAGAACACTGCATCAAGAAATAATTGTATGTTGGTAGTAGTCTTAGCCCGGGGGAAAGGGGTGTTATGTCCCGAGCCTTGCAAACGGGCTCGGGGCGTTTGCAGGCAGTCCCGGGCAGGTGCAAGCTGCCCGGGACCAGACAGGCTGTCGCCAGCGCCTGTGCGCATGCGCAGGTGCTGGCGCGGGAAAAGTAACACATTGACCCGGGAATTGCCTATATAAGAGGCTGGGAGCTTTTGGGCATTGCTGAAGCCTTCATCTGTAACCTGAACACAGAATAAAAGAAAACCTGAGAACTACAACTGCTTCTCGTGTCTTGCCTTTTGCGAAGGACTCAACAATTGGTATGTTGGAGTCTCTGATTCCAGTTGACTCTTGACATCACTGAAGGCTTTCCAAAAGAGATTGGACAGCCATTTGTCTGTAATAGCATAGGGTCTCCTGCTTGAGACTAAAAGACCTCCAAGGTCCTTTCCAACTCTGTTATTATTCTATGTTCTATGATCTGTCCTGTACTTGTGGCCTTGTTTTATATTTCATTTGCAGGTCAGCTAACCGCACTTTTATTACTGATTACCTGGGTGCTAAGGTGAGTTTCACTTTCCAGAAGGATAGATTTCAGGCAAAAGATCATTGGAACTGGGTAAAATTTTAAAAATGTACAAACTATATATAATTATACAGTAGTGTGCATATTGGTTTAAGACATGCATACCTCCTTTACACACAATATTGAATATAGAATATATAGAAAACCTTTTATTTTTATTTTGACTCCTACCTTAAATTTTATAATTCTCTTGAGTGGAAGAAGCCTACAATGGAACATCACTGAACTACATAGGACAGGATTAGACAACTTTTAACTAAAACCATTTTCCTAATATCTCTTCAGTTTGCAGATATGCTGAAAAGTTGAGGCCCTGCCAGTCCGGAAATGTCATTGCATTCCAGACATGCCTCCTCCTGCCTCAAGAAAGAAAGAAAGAAAGCAAGAAAGAAAGGAAGGAAGGAAGGAAGGAAGGAAGGAAGGAAGGAAGGAAGAAAGAAAGAAAGAAAGAAAGAAAGAAAGAAAGAAAGAAAGAAAGAAAGAAAGAAAGAAAGAAAGAACATGAAAATGTTCCTCAGCCAGAAAAATTTGCCCATCCCAGTACAGGAAGAATTCCATCCTTGGTAAATTATGGTAGTTGCAAGACCTGATTTGTAAATTTCCTGCTTTTTCACCTTCCCATTTATTTGTAGAAAGCTTCAAATTGAATAATCTAGTAGGGATTATAGAAATTATAGACTGAAATATCAAAAGAATGCCAGATTTGAAAAGGAATAGTAATGGGTTTGGGTTATCTTTATAATATGAAGTTATTATGCAGTCTAGGATGGATAGGTGGATGGAAGAATGGATAAATAGATATCAGACTATTCATATCAGACTTTTAAGAACCTGGGACAATATTTTCCAGTGGTGACAAAACTGTAATAATCTATGTATTTGGCATAAATGTTCCCTGTGAAGTCTTTCAATCCATAGAATTTTTCTCCCTTTCATACCACAACAGACACAACAATTCAAAACAATTTTTAGAGATAAAGATTTGGATGCAGTGGGTGGGAAACATTCTCACTTTGTTCCCAAACTGTAACAAGTTGCTTTCTCACAATTTAGGCAGTACCTTTTTTGTGAGGTTGTATGAGATCACAAGTGTATCAATAAAATCTGCATAATGAGAGGCCTCATATAAAAAAGCAATTCAGCTATTGATATTCCCAGCTTTCCCTCCAAAGTTTCATAATAACAGAAGTCTTCATAGTATTCTACATTCATCCTACAATTTATTTGCCTTTAAGATAAGGATCTGCAGCCAGAGATTTACAGACAACCACCAAGTTGTCTGCTACCCAATCCTGAAAGCAAAAATGTAATATAAACCTGGTGAGCTGCAAAGCAGACTGCCATCTTGGTCATCTTTATTTCCATGAATGTTTCTATGGCCTACAGGAAAAGAATACAGAATGGGTGATGACATCGTAGTGCTTTATCTAGAAGTGAGATTCCAGCTGTCCTCTCTCTTTCCTGCCAAGAAGACAAAGGACCAATGTATAGGAGAAGACATTCTGAGGAAATAAAGATAGACTTGGATCTCTATTGTTGTTAAACTTTTAAATGTTTAGGACACATTGTGTCATCCTTTCAGAGCAGTTCCTTACCAGGATTCTCAGCACTTTCAACAAGGATGAAACTCCCAATGTTGATGCCATCACTTGAAAAGCTGGGTATACACTAAAAGATAGCTCCTGTTGCATGACACTATATAGTGCAGTCAAATGACAGCACAAGAAAGGATTCATGACGTTTTGTATTATGTTGTAATCCATTATCCAGCTGTGGATGGATATTAGGTGTGCATCTCCATGTACCTCAGAGCAACCATGTTGCTTTGAACATGAAGGGTTGTAAGCTAGAAAAAGAGGCCCTAAGTCAGTGATGGAGAACCTTTTAGAGACCGAGTGCCCCAAAACCACCCCCTGTCCCCGCTTCGCCTCCCGCCCTGCCTGCTCTGTCCCTGCCCACCCCCTGCCCCGCCCACCCACAGGGCTACACACCACCTTCATGGCCCACCACAGCAGATCACCCAGGCAGCCCTGCAGTGCCATGGCAGCCACCCCCTCCGCCCACACCCCGCAGCATCATCTGCACACTATGGGGCATGAGGGTGAAGTCTTGTCCCTGCTGCCCGGCTATGTCCTTGGCTGCGCTGCTCCATGCAGGCTGTGCCCGGGAGCGACTTGCTTCCAGGGGGACTGCTGGTGAGGGGGCCATGGGGGAGGTGGTGCAGGGGCAATGGCACGTGTGCCTACAGAGAGGGCTCTGAGTGCCGCCTCTGGCACCTGTGCCATAGGTTTGCCACCACTGCCCTAAGTAATCTCAGATGTCTCAGACAAAGTCTGTTAAATCAAAGAAGGAAAAAATGAATTGTGAAAGATTCATCTGTTTAAAAGTTCATTAATCTTCTTCTGGCCTTTCAACAATATTTATTTTCTTACAATATTTTAATATGTGCTTTCTATTTCATTCTACAGAATAAATAAGACTATTCACCTACCCATGTTTTTATAATGAGAGTAGGCTTTTGGGGTTCTTTTATTCTAGGATCTCTACTTCCCATTTACACCTTTTAAAGGAACCATCTAGGAAAAATATCCCAGCTTTTAAGAGGAAAATATAGAGAAAACCAGATTAACTGTTGGAAATGTTTTAGTGTATTCACACAGCTATTGTCTTGTATTTCTCTGGGTTCAGACTCTGACCTGAAAAAGGGAATAGAATAGAATGTACATAAGGAGCAAAAAGAGTCTTGCTTCAAATGTCTCTTGAAGCAGATTTTGGAATATTGCCTCCCCAGCCCCACCCCAAACAACCAATGGTGGGATAAATAATCAATAATAGTGTTAACTATTATTCAACAATAACAAAATCACAGAGGTAGGGACTAGTATTATTTTTTAAAAAATGCTTGTAATGGACTAGATATCTTTTATTGAATTTATTTAACCTTTAAAAAGCATAGTGCATTTCTAGCAGACTTCTTGCAGGAATACTTCTTAATTTCTCTAGAGTTTTCTGAGCAGATGGATATGTAATGTGATGTAATCACATGGTCAATCCAGAATGCACTAGGGATGTAGGGAGTTAAAGCAAGGTGGAATAACTTCCTTAGCTCTTTGTATATTCTAGAATAAGCAAGCACAACATTCATCTTCTCCATTGGATCTGGTGAATATTTCTTCAGATATCTTTTAAGCAATGAAGCATTCTGAAGATCATAACCTCCCTAAAGGGAAGTTTTTTCCAGGTACTTTTTTGGGGGGTCTGCTTGCTGTTTTTCCAGAGACAGTTTTTTATTCAGCAAACATGCCTGTGTCAAATTCTGAAGAATGGTAAAACCCACGGAGCAAACAAGAAAGACGCCAAGCCATTTTAATTTGCAAACTCAAGCTCAAAGAGGATTTTTATTATGATGCGCAATACAGAATGAGAATTGGCTAAGATGAGTCAGGCAAAGCTGGAAAGGGACCACTATGAAAAAAGTAGCCAAGCCGAGGCATACTTCTGCAAAAAGAAGGATTTGTGGCTATGCTGAAATTGCTTTCTCTTTAAGGAAGGAAGCCCATCCAATAGGTGAGTGCACTTTTCAGGAGATTCAGAAGTTTCCAGAACGCACTTTGCTGGTAGTAATGCTGCTGCCACCGCCACTGCTATAGCCACCACCACTGATGGCACCACCACCACTACCGCTGCCACCACTACTGTAGGTGATTGTGGTGCTGCCTCCTCCGTAGGATGCTGTTGCAAAGAGAGAAAGCAGATGTAAAATAAATAGTAGAAGGCCTCTGTATCGCGCATATTGCAATGAAAATTGCCTACGGCCAATCACATTTAATCCCTGTGGTGTTTCTTACTCCCTAAACAGAACAATTTCCAATTGATAGCTAATAGTTCAGGGGTACAATCCTGTGTTTGTGTGTGCCCTGAATTGTGCCTATTCCTTTAACCAAGATGAAAACCAATCAAGCTTAGCACTTAGCTGCAAATGCAGCTGCTAACCCTGCCTGATTTGGTTTACAATGTTGTATGAATAAAGTCATAGTAATCTATGGATCATTTTTACCATGTTCAGTTCTTGTCTTCTAAATATGGAAAACTAGTTGGAATTAATGAGATTTAAGTTTGTCAATGAGTGTACACTAAATCTTGACACATTTCCATGATTTCAAAGAGAGCTCTGAATATTTCACAATACATCAGCAAGGAGGCAACACAATTTTACTTGACAAGGAGGTTTGCATTGTTGTGAACCCTTCATCCAACAATCAAAGTAATTGGAAGAGGCTTCTGCACAGACGTTGCCATGTACAGTAGGTGCAATGCAACTTCCAAGGAAAGTTTCACCCAGACTATAGTCTGTGTGAAGCAGTCCTTTGAATCTTTCTATCACCCAAATATTTGTGACTAGTTAACTAAAGCTTTTCTTACCATCTTTTGGAGACCAACCTGGGAGTCTGTAAAGGAAAAAGAAGAAACAGGATAGTTAGATGTGATGGGATAGGACAAAGGCAGTCCTGGATTAGTCATTAAACAAAATAAGTATGTGCTTAGGGCTCCAAAATAAAGGGAACACCATGGATTTCTGTTCCCCCCCCCCAGCTATTATGCCAGTAACATTTTGACAGCCACATTTAACATAAATCTCAACTAATTTTCAGTTTTAGTTTTATTGAGTCTTAATGTCAGCTAAGCAATGGGAAGGCTGAGGAGCTCTATTATTGGGTTGTGTTTAGAGGGCATCAGTTGGCCTCTACCTGGCCTTGAGCAAAGAACTTTGTCCTCCTAGTCTACAGTGTTTCTCAACCTTGGCAACTTGAAAAGGTATGGACTTCAACTCCCAGCTGTGCTGGCTGGGGAATTCTGGGAGTTGAAGTCCATACCTCTTCAAGTTGCCACGGTTGAAAAACACTGTCCTAGGACCTTCTGGCCATAGGAACAGCTGAGATTGCTAACCTTGTAACCTGCTAATCTTTCTGACATTCCAAGTGACATGGCAAATGGAGAGGGTTTCTTTTTAGACTGTCAATGTGCCCCAAGTCTGTGTTGATATCTGGTGACTGACTGGGCTGTTTCCTCCCTACATTTTCAGAAGTGATTTGCTCTTGACTTTTCCCTGGGGATAAGATAAATCGACTGGTCCAGGTTTTCCCAGGTGGCTTTGTGTTTAAGAAAAAACTAGAACTCACAGTCTCGCTGTTTCTAGCCTTAAACTAAACACCAAACTATCTTATTATTTGATTAGTATATCTATATTTTCAAAGTTTACTACCTGAAGCAGATTCTTCATATTGCAATCCTCAGCATTGTTTATCATGATTATTTTGAATTAAATCCAGAACTGAATGAAACTTATTGAAATGAGACATCAGCTGTGTAGAATATCAACCAAAGTGGAAATCTCTCAAAAAGTGACTTTTACCATATTTGATTGAAATACAAATTCTAAATAACAAAATAAATGCACCCAACCAGATGGAGATTTACATGTGAAATAGTTTAAATTCCATTTTTCCATTTTTCTGCGGCTACTTGTATCCAAAGAACATGTAAAGCAGCTAAGAAATGGATAACAAAATCCAGTTCAAGAAGGTACTGGAGTTCAGAATTCATATTATATAAAAATGTGTACTTTTTATTGTTGCAGAATAAAGATGAAATCTAAATATTAAAACTTTTAGAAGATAAAGAAGTTTATACAAACCCTGGCACTCTCTAGGTTTAGAAAGGCAAGCTGGCCATTTCTTTTACCTATGGTAAAGATTTTTTGATTGATTGACTGATTGATTAATCTGTCTTTTATATATGCAAACAACAACAGTCTTTCAGCTGTTTGCAAGCAAACTCTAAATTGTTTGGGAAAGAATCTATTGCTCATTATGTAAATGTTATGTGAATAAGCCATAAATCTGCTGGTATTAATTAATATTCTGGAAGGGAAGTCTACTTTCAATAGGAACTTGATCTTTTATAATTGTATGTGTGATTGTACATTAAATTTTCAATTTTATTTGGATAAATAATTGTCCCCAGTTCACCAACCAGGAAGGGAATTCAAGGAGGCATTTTTCTCAAGTGCACTATTAGCGGCAGACTAAGAGTATTGTTTCTGTAGTCAAGCATGATGAGCTATTGAAAACCTCACCCCTTTCAAGAATTCTTTTTACATTACTAATTTGTTTTCTTTGTGAGTTAGTTACATACTTTGAGTCCTGACCCTCCAACAGGTTTCGATAAGTGGCAATCTCCTGTTCCAGCCGTGTTTTGATATCCATGAGCATCCTGTATTCTTGATTCTGGCGCTCCATGTCATTTCTTAAGTCAGCCAGCTGTTCTTCTACACTACTGATTACGTTCTGGATTTGTGCGAGCTGAGCACAGTACCGTCCTTCTGTATCTGCTAAGTTGGTTTCCAAGCCAGCTTTCTAATAAGGAAGAAAAATAAGAGGATCTAGAAATCTGAACAGCTACCAAAACTGAATTGCAGAATCTGATCTCTATCATAAAATAGCTTGATTCCAGCTCTAAGAACATGAATACCCATTGGCACCAGTAGGGTTATTAAATGGGAACAGATAGTACTACTGTATCTTGCAATTATTTCCATCTAACTTGAAATGCTTTAGAGGCTAGATTTTTTTAGGACAGATACCTTTACCTGTTGAAAGATGGATAAATCTTGCAATTTCACTGTCTCTCAATTTTTCATTTTTCTAAACTACATATCTCTTTCAGTTTCCTGTTTTTCCATTAGGATCATCCTATTTCTATACTCATTTGAGACTTTTGCTTTTAAAATTCTCAGTAAAATGTGTATGCATTTTAGCATATTTATCCTACGTTATTTGTTACATTATTTTCAGGAATGTAAGTATTTATTTGATATACACCATTTTAAATTTTGCATTGTAAAATTCAGAGAAATGTGAATTTCAGTGGATAGCTGAATTTTGATTAACTTATTGTTTGGAAATGAAAAGCTACAAGCTACAAAAATACTTCCTAATCTGATTTATTCCCATTGAAAATTTGAGCAAAGCAACATACCATGCTAAGATGGGATTGCAACTCAATCTCCAAACCCTGTATTGTACGTCTTAGTTCTGAAATCTCAGTTTTGCTTGTCTGTAGTTGTTCAGTATGGGTAGCAACTTCACGATTCAGTTCTTCGGTCTGGGTGCAGGAAGGATTGAAATCAAATGAAATATGCTGAGTAATGTTGCAAGGCTTTGACTAGTATATGTCTAATTAATTCCTAGTAGATTCAAATATACATAATTAGGAACATTCACAGACTTACAGTACAATCTGAAAAAGGTTTGTACAGGGATATAGAAGTAATTCTATGGAAGCTGTAACTCAACATAGATCTGAATAATATGTAGAAGGGGATATCCTGAATTTCCCCATTACTTCTACTTTTTTTTTTTTTGCAGGGAAAAAGGAGAAGGGAAGAATGTTCGTATTTTTTGATTTAATAGAATAAAGAATCTTCTGAATGAAAATCCCAGGATATTGTGAAAATACAGACAATTTCCAGAAAGGCAGTGTACCTTGGTAAAGAACCAGGCCTCAGCATCTCTGCGGTTCTTCTCAGCCATTTGTTCATATTGTTCTCGCATGTCAGCCAAAATTTTGGTGAGATCAACTCCAGGTGCAGCATCCATCTCAACATTGACCTGTCCAGTTAGCTGAGTACTGTATTCTTTCATTAACTTTGGGAGGTGGGGAGGCAAAATAGGCAGACAATTAGTTTTCCTTCCACATACTATCTCTTTTCAGCTATCTGCAAGTAGCAGCTGTGTCCCTGAACACTTCAATGCTTAAAGTAATCTTCTGATGAGCAACAGTAATCAACATTATTGATTATTTTTGTTAGGCTTAAAGGCCAGCTGACATTTCTAGTAGCCATCAAGAGCTGGTTTCCTATTTCCAGCTCTAGAAAAAGGAAATAATAATACTCACCCCCCCACACACACACACCATCTTTCCCAGTGAAGAGAATTTTTTGGGGAGAGAAATGACAGGTAGGCTCTACATTTATGTGGATGCTGGTTTCCAGCAGCCCATTCCAACAATCCACATAGGTGCCATCTTACTTGGTACCATCTGGAAGAGGCACAACCTCTATTTATGTAAACATGACTAATCTTTAGCTGAGTGCAATGTGTGACCTCCTATAGAGTGTCATCCTAAAATTCTTCCAAAATTATTATCTTACTGTGTAATTAATGATTTGAAAATATCAATCAGATTTCATTTCTGCCTTAGTCCTACCCATATTTTTGTCTTGGCCCCATCCGGCTTTTTTAAAATGCAGCCATCAGCCATCTGCTGATTAACTTTTTTTTTATACAGAACTCATGAAACAATAAGAGTCTACCTATGGATGGTGATGGATAATTTTATGCTGTCTTCTCAATGTGGTGGCATGCTCTTCTCCATTTTCCTTTCCCCAGTTACCCACCTCCTCATGGTTCTTCTTGAGGTAGGCCAGATCTTCCTTCTTCTCTTCAATTTGCATTTCCATGTCAGATTTAAACAGAGTTAGTTCATCCAGGACTCTGCGCAGACCATTGATGTCACTCTCAACACCCTGGCGGAGATGCAGCTCATTCTCATACCTGATAACATTCAAGGAAAAAAGTTCAAGTACTCCAAATAGGAACAAAACACCTTGCTATCTCTATGTATTGAAACGTACAATTTTTCAAGCATTTTTCCATTTTTTTTCTTTCTTCCTTCACTAGAATGTTTTTTTTTTCTTTGAGGAGATCACATACCTACTTTATAAAAGACAGTATTATGTTTGAGGGACTACCCAATGTGACTCCATTTTGAAGGTTGTGACATTGCTGATCAGAAGCTAGAACTTGGATAACATGTTTAGCAGACATAAAAATCACCTCCCATTTGACCCATTAAGATGAAATAGTTTCAACAACTATTTAAGTTATTAAATTTGCATCATACATACAACTCAGCATTTGAATGCTATATGCAGATTAACATTTCTATCTCTACTCTTTCCCCTTATTTTTGACAGTGGATGAGAAGCTATCTTACTTTTATTCTGTTTATGTTTTAAGCTCAACCAAACTCATCAATTGCTACATATCTTAGTTTTGAGGGCCAGTGTTCTTTTCAAGGGCCCCTGCATACTTAACTATCCATTTCCACATCACCATTTTTCTTTGCTACTATTGCCATGCTTTTTTCACATAACAATGAGCAAGCCTTTTCTCTTCTTTTCTTCTTATCCATCATTGTCCACCAATCTGCTAATATCTATTCCAGCCTTGGGTAGGGCTAACTAATGGAGACATAGACTTGTATATACAGTTTCAAAGGGGCTCTGGTTCACTTTTATCTGAATTTTTCTATTATCTTTTTCCTCCTTTTTCTTCAGCTCAGAAAGAGTCTTTGGGGAATAGAAAAATAAACGGAGAAAAAACTCACTTCAGTCTGAAGTCATCAGCAGCCAGTCTAGCATTATCAATCTCCAAAATAACCCTAGAATTGTCAATTGTAGAGTCAGCAATCTACCAAAGAAGAAAGAAGACAGGGGAAAAAAAACATTAATATAGGAAAAAAAAATAGTCCCTGAAGATGTTTAGCTTAGTCATTAAAACATGTGGAGGGGTTAGGCAATTTTTATACAATTTCTTCTTTAGTTGTCTAGTGTAGGAGGCATTGAGATGGCTTGGAGAAGATATTCAAAAGCTGTTATAAGAGCAAAAGATGTTGAAGCATGTGTTAAACTATGATTCCATGGGTTATAAGAAAGAGGGAAGATAAATTATCAGCAGACTTGCAAACTGGATAACTGAAGGTTTTAGGTTAATGTAATCTGGTTTTGCAGTGCATTATGGGTTTGCCCAGGAGTCATATTCAGTCAGCCAGTGGAAGTTATCTTTCCTTTGCCTCTGTCATTACTATATGAAGTCTTTTATAGCAACTGTCTGGAAAATTTTTCTTGACATATGGCTAAGAAGAGTCCTCTGTACTGTACCAATATATTTAGGTAAGCAATAAATCAATCCTAAATATTAAAATAAAACGTTCAAATAAAAAAATAGAAAAGCATGATTGGAATAATGTAGGTGGTGCTGAGGAACTGACTGGAATATTCCTTGGCATCATTTCCAGTCATCCAGATATACATATTGGATAGGATTCTGTTCTTGGTAAGAACTTAAGCTATCCTCTAGGTAACTTTGACATGTATTATGCTGTGCTAATCTGGCACTCTAGCTTAGTTAATATAAATATATTATCTAAATGTGTCCTTCCTGGCTAATAAAGTATAAATATTTCTATATTGATTTTTACATGTAGCTTATTACATATTTATGCTAGACATTAATTATGGTCTTGGTGCTATAAAATGTTTTTCTTGGATCTAGAAAATACAAGTATAGTTTCTACATTAAAATTTAATAGGGATTTAATAGGGAGAGCAGAATGAAAAAAAAACTTAACATTTTAAAGACAAATATGAATTGTGTGAACTACATATCAGTTTTGACTTTCATGTTTCAGCTACCCTACTGTATAGAGTGATGTGAAAAAAATCATATGTATTTCTTAAACTTGGCGACCTTAAGCTATGTGGACTTCAACTCCCAGAATTCATCACAAATTAATTTATCTTAATTATGTTTGGGCAAAATAAATTTACTTACTAAATATTGGCTTGATCTTTTTAACAAATCATAGTAAAATTCAGCCATAATTTGCCATTTTTCATTAACATAACTAGCTAATTTACCTAAGATAGGAATGAACATTTCCAAACCATTCGTTGTAGGCAAAAAAAGGAGGGGGGGAGCAAGAAGAGACATGGGATTCTGTGATTCATCAAGGATACAGTCTGAAATCAGTTGGGACTTAACATTTTGATTCTAAGGAAGTCAGTCAAAAATAGGAATATTCATGTTTACTTCTGGTGGATTCATTATACCCAGTATTTCCCAGTTCTCTCTTTTCTAAATGGAAAGAACATGTCATAGAAACATTGACTGAAGATGAATGACAACAGATTTAGCTATTTCTTCACACAGCAAAGACCTATACGGGTGCTAAATAACAAAGTGCAAACTTTTTACATCAGGGAGGGTTGCATTGATTTTAGTGGAATTTTATCCTTAGGCAAAACAGAGAAGACAAGAACCCTAATTTCTTTGCCTTGAATGGTGCAAGAAATAGCATCAATCATTAACATTTGGGAGAAATGGGATCCATTATGGTGCAAATCTGAATTGCTACCAAGGAATAAATACCATACAAACTGATGCTGCTTTGGTTTAATCATTGGTCTTTATTAATATGTATTATTTTAACTGCCTAGAGAAATTACAGAAAAGCAATACAATATATGTGTGTCTGTGTGTGCATGTATATACACAAACACAAACACACACACACACATACATATATACATACAGAGATTGAGGGAGAGAGAGAAGGAGACATACATGTATACATACATACAAAGGTGTTTGCTTGATCTAATTTTTTTAAAAAAATCACAATCTGAAAGCATAAGAGTTATCATCCAGAATATGAAAATAATCATAGTTGAATAAAGGATAAAAGTATGGAGGAGGAGGAGGAGGAGGAGGAGGAGGAGGAGGAGGAGGAGGAGGAGGAGGAGAGGGAACTTTCAAACTTGATCTGTTAACATCAATGTAATTCTTTGTTCAGGATCCTACCTTGTCACGGAGATCCGAAATTATCTTGTAATAATTGCTGTAGTCCTTGGCTGGGCTAGTGGGTGCCTGCTTTTGATGCCAGTCTCGGATCCTGATCTCTAACTCAGTGTTTGCCTCCTCTAGGGCTCGCACTTTATCCAAGTAATTTGCCAGGCGGTCATTGAGATTTTGCATGGTGATCTTCTCATTGCCAGTCAGAAGACCTCCATCACCGCCACCACCACTAACCACAAAGTCAAGGCCACCACCATAGCCTCCACCAACTCCACCACCATAGCCTCCACCAACTCCACCACCATAGCCTCCACCAACTCCACCACCAAAGCAACTTCCATAGCCAAGGCCACCTCCAGAAACATATCCAACCCCACAACCACCTCCTAAGCCACTTCCATATCCATAATTGCTTCCATATCCTGAACCAGAAGATACAAACCTAGCTGAAGAGGCAGATACACGGCCACCAGCTCCCCCATGGATACTGGATGGTCCAAGACGGACAGAAGCCACACGGCCAGAACCGCCACCACCACCACCACCATGAGAAGAAGAGGAGCTTTGGTAATAGTATGTAGACATCGTGAAAGAAAGTTCAGTTGCAAGACTGTTACTCGGCTTGGTTTAGCGTGAAGAAGCTAGCATCTGCAGTGTTGCCTGGCTGCATTTATAGTCCTCTGAGGGTGTGCTCTATTGCATTACCCAAGTATATTCTGCCAAGACACACCCTGTTGGGAGAGGTTTAGTGGAATAATCTGCTTGCTTTGAACTGTAACAGTTCCAATTCAGGTGGGCTGTATGTATATTTACTTCTACAGCCAGCAAAGTGAAAAATTTCATCCAGGAGAGCCTGGCTTATTTTTCTCTTGATGCTGGAGCACTTTCAGGGTGGTTACATTTCTTTAAACCTTTGAACACAATTGGAGTGGGGAGGGGATAGGCTTCTCAACTCCTTACTTCGTTAGCTAAAAAGCCCCGAGGAAATGATTGAAGGGCAGTGTTCAAAATAAAAAAAAAAGCAGGTTCCTTCTGTTAAGGGATCCTGTTTCACTCAGTTCTCTTTATTCCTACTAAAATATTTAAGAATTAGTTAATTGAGCAATCATGTGCCCATCCTGCCACTCTTTGCCATAGAGTTCACTTACTGCTCTTTTTACTCAGAACTGCCAGGCGCAGCTCTCTAGGGATGTCCTGAGCAAAGAGGCTTTTTACTTTAACAACTGAAAATGATCAGGCTGACAATCTATCATTGACCATCCCACCTCCTTATTCCTTTCACTTCCTCTCTATTTATCTTTTCTCTCTCCAAGGCATAGGAGAATGACACATTGGAGTTGACATTAAAAGCATAGTGAATGTGTGTGCAAAGCAGTCATATTTTAAAAGCTAAAGGGAGCGTGGGGAGTAAAATATAAGAGTGTTGGATCCAGTTGGGTTTCTCGTGCCTTTTGATTTTCTCTTCTACATTCTCCTTGCTAATAATACATCAAATATTTCCTCCATGGATAAGTGAAGGAAGATCCTTGTCCAGATCCTGGACTGAAATGAAAGGACTCATGGAACCTAGAAAGAAGCTGATTGCTACCAACTTGGAGTATTGGTAGAGCTGAAAAGTGGCTAATAGCCCCTCTCTACCAGGACTCTCTACATGTGCTCTACCTCTGTGCCATGTTCTCCATAAATGCTTTAAAGATTTCTCCTTGCTATTTTTCTCCAATCACTGCACTTTTCTTATCTGCCTTTCATTTTATTTATAAGTCTCTCAAATGCCATTTAAGAACAAGGTGTCAAGGAGGTTGCCTAGATTTGCTGTTGGTCTACATGGCAGGTAATCCTGCTGTATCACTAGGAGGATCTGTCATTCCTAAACTCTAACCCTAACCTTTATACCCATACAAATAAGCACTCCGAAACTCTCATGCACATACAAACACAGAGAGCAACACACCAAAGGGGTTTTGCTACATCTTCCAAGAGATTTTATTGTTAGATGTACTATATAAAAATATAAAATGTGGAGCTGCTGTAAAAAGCATTGTGAAGGTTATATATTTTATATCTTTGATGCAAAACAAAGAGGAAGATTTGATATGTATGTATGCATGAACAGAACATGCACTACAGTATGTTAGTGGAGATCCTCCTATTTGTATTGCATTTTGAAGTCTGGATGGCCTTTCCTTAAAGTCCTATATGCCCTTGAATGTTCTTGCATTGGATAAACCAGCATTATTCCTTAATCCAGAATTCATACTTTATAGTTATTCCCATATCCAAACTGAGGAGTTCATATAGAGAATAAGAAAGAATAAAGGACACATGCAAAGGTGATCCTGAGGAAGCATTGGAAAACCAGTTCTTGCACTGGTTGGAATGAAATGTTCCTTTGGATATGTAAAAAAGTACATGGCTTCAATCCTAGGCAGGCTGACCTAAAAATAATTGTGAATTAAATATGCAGATTACTCAGCTGAATGGACTTTGAGAAATTTTCTTTAAACTTGACTTTGAACATGTATTAAGTAATTTTTCTTCTTCTTTAAAAGACTCATCAGGAACTTTGCAACTTTCTGATTCTGAGATATCCAAGCCTCCTTTACCCTTCACTCCATTTTAATTATTTATAAATTAAACTCTGATATTAATGTTAGTATTGGGCAGAAGTTTTTTTTAATGTTTTTTTTCCTGTGATAATAAATTATCTCACTTATGGATGCATTTTCAATTACACTTCAATTGCATAGATAAGAGAGAAAGAAACAAAACATAGTGAGTTTTCCTCTTAATCAAGAACTGTATATGCTGACCAAGCAACATTTCTTAAAAACAGGAATGAAGACTGAGTTGCAGATATGTGTTCCAGGCAGCCAAAAGAAAAGATAGAAGTGCTGGGTCCTGACACTAGAAACTTAAGCTCAGACATTCTTTCTTAGGAACTGGTTTACACCCAATAGCCTCTCTGTGTGATGGGAAAAGTAGTCCCTGCAGCTTCAGAAAGAAATTACAGTATTGCATTGTCAGGTTGGAAAAACATGCTTCAAATGAAGGTTGGCTTTGAGCCATGGAATATCAGCAGATGTGCCAGGGGAATGACTGATATTTGCAAGCATCTTTTGCCATATCTATATATCACTACAGATTTGGAACTTGAAGAAGCAAGTTTAGACAAGTCCTGGGTAATTATGAAAAAATTTCCAAGAGGTTTATTGGATGTGATTAATGGTTAATCCTAAACTCCATCTTATTGCTAGCCAATTCTTTATTAATGGTAATTCTGTTGTTTGGCTCATTTTGAAACTAGAAGGATATTATGACTGGATTCACACATCAATTATTTATTGAAAAAAATACAGTTGCTTGGATATGTCAACAGACTGAGCCATAAACCATCTTTTACAAACCACAAACTTTGTGATTTCAAAACACACTAAGCAAAAATTGAATCTTGACAGTTTTCTGCCCATCAAAAAGTTTTTGCCAACTAAAGAGTATCACATTATGCTTATTTTTTATTTTTACATTTTGTTGTCTCTTGTTTCACCCTTCCCTACCAAACGGATTAGAATAATCATTTATATATCCACACCATAATCACAAGGATACTGCTTCAATTGATAATATCTGCAGCAGGCAACAAAATATTTGCCCATGAGATTTTAACATTAGTGGTGGGCAAAAAAACAAGAGTCACAAAATCAAACAACTTATTTTAAAAAAGTCCCTGATAGGTGAACCAGTCTATGTGTTAGTCTGATTACATCGAAATTGAGAAAATATATGAGATAAATGAGTATAAATATGGTATAATATGACTAGATTATGGGTCAATGAGCTAGAAAAAATGCCTTTCACACAATGGTTATGGAAAATGAATAGAGCAGCCACAGAAGATAAGTGAAAAATCTTGAATCCCAACATCAGGAAGCAAATTCTGTCCCTTCCATACTTGTTTGTAATGTCACAATGAAACACAAATTTTGAAACTATTATGCTTAAAATCTGAGGCTATGAGTCCAACTTTTATAAACCAGGTCTGCAGATGTGTGAGACTACAATTCTCATTTTTCAAAGCCATCATCACTAGCCAAGATATTATTTTGTCCAAGTATTTCCATTTAGCAGGAAATGAATTTTCCATGATAGTTCTTCCTCCCTTTACAGAAATTATACCTTGAGGAGGCACAATTTCTTTTGGTGCAATAATTCCAGAAGATAGGTGTGTGTGTGTGTGTGTGTGTTTGTGTGTGTGTGTGTGTGCGCACACGCGCGCGGGCATTTATTTTATTTATTAAATTTATGTGCCGCCCATCTCACCATGAAGTGACTTTGGACAGCTTACAAATATATGCATGTGTGTAAAGTTAAATTATTACCCTGGACAATTAATTACCATTTTGCAATTCAATATTTTTTTCAGTCATGTCAATATTTAGCTTCATGCCAAACTGATCATTAGTGCTACATTCAAAAGGCATTGAAAGAATAGTCTTACCTGGTGCAAAGTTCAAGCACCTTTAGAAGATGGGAGAACTAGAAATATTGAAATTCCCATCAGATGTCAGCATTTGGGCAGCAAACCAAAGTATCTTGTATATAAAGCATGGCATTGCTTCCTGGGAATGCCTTAAAACATATCCATTAACAAATGTACATTTCACTCTAAAACCGGATTCTCTTTTGTCTTCCTCTTTGATGATATATTTCTTTTTAACAACAACAGCAGCAATAATGAATGTTCTTAGCCCTGAAGGAATCAGAAAACAGGCTGTTGTTTTTGCTGCAGAAGATTAAATAGGCAACTCCATCAATGCCATTTTGACTATACAGGAGCTGTCCATTTTGCATCACATTGATGAAAATGAATAATTTAAAATGCATCTTACTTTTTTCAAGAGATGTCCTGTCGTTGAATCTTTATGGGGTATAAATAAAGCAACATGTTTTCTCAGTGGCAATCTCTATTCTTTGGAACATTTTTTTTCCATTGGAGGAACAGATGGCAAAATTTAATCTTTTTTAAGCACTACATGAAGTTAGCTTGAGTGATTCAAGACAGAAAATAAGATATAGCAGGATCTGTCTTCCATCAGAAAGGAATAGTTGAAGGAGTCATAAAGGCATGGACTGCTCCTGGTTCTACCTAATGATAGGACTGAGTTAAGCTGTGGTTTATTGAAGAAAAATTGAAAAATAAGAATGACCATTCATTAGACAATGATGAAAATTACCATTGAATGAAAATTATTCTTAGCAATGTAATGTAATATTCAGTGTAGATTTGGCAAATGATCAGGATTTAATATCGCTTTGCTTTTTTGTGTTTTACAATATTGTCAGAATGACACAGCTCATAACTTCAGGTTAGCCCCAGTCCATTGTTTTTAGATTTCACTGATTAATTTTGTGTTCAGCTTCTCTGTGTGTGACAACTAATAGATTGTGACACCAGAAATTTAATTTATACCTAAATATCTTTTGCTCTGAATTTAATCAGTTCAGAATTACCCAGTCTCTTAATTATGACATCAGTGTCTCATACTCTGTTGTGCAACTTTTGTTAGGTGGTGACCATAATAAAACTTGATTTGTTGATTGACTGGTTGGTTTGAAAAACGACTATTATAAA